TTGCCCAAGGTCACACCAGAAGCTGCATGTGGAAGAGTGGGGAATCAAACCCAGCTCTCCCAGCTTAGAGTCTGCGCTCCTAACCACGACACCAAACTGGCTCTCTACTGTTTTTATATATGGTGCTTTTGAGAGTTTTGGATCCACCGCACACACTCAATCATTCTTCAGACAAGTCCTGCAAGGTAAGCTAGTATAATTGGCCCCCACACTGCAGAAAGAGGTGGGAGGGAAGGTGAGTTGCTGAAGACCACCTAGGGAGATCTGAACCCAAGGCTTCCTGCATTCTAGCTCAGAGTTAGTGTAACCCCTAGCTCAGGGGTCATTTCGTAGAAAAAGAGGTGCAGGAGCTCATTAGCACAACTCATTAGCATACCTCATTTGCATGTGCCACACCCCCTGACATCACCGGAAGTGTGTCAGAAGGCAACACCCACCGCTCAGGCTTCACTGAACTGTTTTGGATTGCTAGCTATCGGCTGTCAGAGCTCTCTCAGCCCCACCTACCTCTCAGGGTGTCTGTCGTGGGGAGGGGAAGGGAAAGGAGTTTGTAAGCCGCTCTGAGACTCCTTTGGGTAGTGAAGGGCGGGGTATAAATCCAATCTCCTCCTCCTCCTCTTCTTCATTTGCTGTCCAGCTCGTCTATAAGTTTGAACCTTACCTCCCATTCCAGTGTCTTTGAAAAAGTGTGCTTTGCATACGAAAGCTCATACCTTGAATAAACCTTTGTTGGTCTTTAAGGTGCCACTGAACTCTAAATTTGTTCTAGGTACCACACAACCTCACTCCCTGACATTTTATGGTTGGCCCCGCCTATTGTGCAGGCCATTTTGTGGCTGTCTCCACCCCCTGCAGCGGCCATTTTCTGGCTGCCTCTGCCACTCCGCATCAGAATCCCAAAGTTGCCCCCAGGTTCAAAAGGTTGACAGCCTCTGGCATAGAAATCTCTCGTACAAGTGCAATGCGTCAGAGAAGTCGATGTCGCTTTTGAATCCGACGGAATCAGCAGTTTTTCACACAGGGTCACATTCGTCTTTGGCTATGCTGGAGCTGGTCTATCCAGAGCAGTTCTGTTCTTTTACTTTGGAGAACAAAAATATACACAAACCGGAAATCTATCTTCCTTTTAAGTTTTCTGTAAAGCGCCCGCCTCCCCACCCCCCAATGTCTGCTGCTGCTGAGAAATAGTTCTGCATTTCAGGAGTGAGTCAATATTATTCACACACACAAACACTTTTTACCAGAAATCTCTTAATCCTCCCAACATCTCCCCCTGAATTGGGTTTCACCAGTTTAGGTGGAGGTGGTGGGGTTGCCAAACTCCAGGTGGGGCCTGGAGATCTCCCAGAATTGCCACTGAACTCCAGACGGCAGACATCAGTTCCTCTGGATAAAATAGCCAGCTGCTTTGGAGGGTGGACTGTGTGGCATTATACCCCCCCGAGCCCTCCCCAACCCAAACCCACACCTATAGAAGAGAGAGTTTTATACCACGCCCTTCACTACCTGAAGGAGTCTCAGAGCAGCTTACAATCTCTTTCCCCTTCCCTTCCCCACAACAGACACCCTGTGAGGTAGTTGGGGCTGAGAGAGCTCTCTTGAGAACTGCTCATGAGAGAACAGCTCTGAGAGAACTTGTGACTGACCCATGGTCACACCAGCAGCTGCATGTGGAGGAGGAGTGGGGAATCAAACCCGGTTCTCCCAGATTAGGGTCAGCTCTCTTAACCACTACACCAAGTTGGTACAAGGCAGCTTCATTTCAGCTACTCTGAAATCTCCAGAAATTTCCCAACCTGGAGTTGATTACTTTGAGAGCCAGTTTGGTGTAGTGGTGAAGTGCGCGGACTCTAATCTGGGAGAACCGGGTTTGATTCCCCACTCCTCCACTTGCACCTGGCTGGATGACCTTGGGCAAGCCATAACTCTGGCACAGCTGTTCTTGGAAAAAGAGCAGTTTCTGTCAAGAGTTCTCTCAGCCCCACCTACTCACAGGGTGTCTGTTGTGGGAAGGGGAAGGGAAAGGAGCTTGTAAGCTGCTCTGAGACACCTTTGGGTAGTGAAGGGCAGGGTATAAATCCAATCTCCTCCTCTTCTTCTTCTTCTTTAAGGAAGGAATAAAATTATTTCAGAGATTTGTTTTGGTTTTTCGAGCAAAATAAAACAAAGAGATACCCTTAATATCTGGTATTCGTTACCTCCGGGTGCCTATTTGCACACAATAGATGGCAAAATTGTATAACCGGCATTGAGAGGACTGTGGCTCAGTGGTAGTGCGTCTGCTTCACGTGCAGAAGGTCCCGATTTCAGTCCATGGCATCTCTACTTTAAAAAAGGATCGAGTTGAAGGTGATGTGAAAGCCCCCCCCCCACTTGACACCCCAAAGAAAGAGACACTCCCAGTCAGGAGACAGGACCCAGTTTAATAGACCAAGAGTCTGATTCGGTATAAGGCATCATTATGTAGATGCCCCAGTGGAAGGAGAGGTACAATCCGTGTTGCTGGTCTTTCCCAATCTCTTCCCTCCTGTCCTTTCTTCCAGGCAGAGTTTCATCAAATGTTCAGCACTAAACACTACCAGAAAATTAAACCTCGGAAGCCCTTCCTCCCAGGAACAGCAGCCCGTAGTGATTATTCAGTAGTAAGAGCAAAGCACCCTAACTTGAACAGCCCTGTTATTCTCAGATCTGAAAAGCTAAGCAGGGTCAGCTCTCGTTTGCACTTAGATGGGAGACCACCAAAGAAGTCCTGGGTTGCTACAGGAAGGCAGGACATGGCAAATCTCCTCAACGTCTCTTGCCTTGAAAACCCTGTGGAGTCGCCATAAATCGGCTGCAGTTTGCCGGCACTTTCCACCACCAAATGCAAAGCACTCTGCGTGTGCCCAGAGGCCCTCTTTTCAATAACCTCAGTGCCCAATCAGGGCCATCCCTACACCAAATGGCACTCCAGTCCGTCGTATCCCGTGATCTCCAAGAGCGTCTCATAGGGTTGCCAATTCGGGGTTGGGAAACTCCTGAAGATTTGGGGGATGGACCCTTTGGAGGGTGGGTTTTGTGAAGGGGAGGGACCTCAGTGGGGAATAATGCTGTAGAGTTCACCCTTCATTTTCTCCAGGGGTACTTATTTCTGTTGTCTGGACAGCAGTTATAATCCCGGGTGATTTCCAGGTTCACCTGGAGGCTGGGAAACCTACATGGTATCTCAGGTTTTGAAAGAAGACATGAAGTTTCACAGAGATCTAAATCCCCACTTTAGAGCTGCTTCCATCAGGGTCAGGAATCTCCGTGTTTCTTTCGTTGCCATAGTGAATGCAGAGTCATGTGACTCCATGGGTGCGTTCAGACGGGGGCTTTATATCGGTTAGGGTGCCGGTTCCAACCGTTGTACTCACCGGCGTTCAGACGGGGCACATCTGCCTCGGGCGAAGCTTCGCCCTGAGCGTTTGTTTGTTTTTTAAAAAGCCCTTAGTTTAACTTCCCGGAGGAGTCCGGGACTACAGGGAGGCCAGGTTGGGCTTTAAACTTTAAAGGTAAGTGCTTACCTTTAAAGTTTAAATGTAATGGGGGGGTTTGAGCATGCGCAAAGATCGCCATTCTCTGAATGGCTGCCTATGCGCATGCTCAAACTGTGCTTTAAAAAAAAAAACAACGCCGACACCCGCAGCGTGTGAGCGGGCGTCCAACGGAGGGATCCGGAAGATGGAGGAAAGTGTGATCGTGTTTCTGCCGGCATAAACTGCACCAGTTCCAACCAGTGCAGTTTATGCCGGCAGAAATGCCCCGTCTGAACGCACCCCATGTGTGAGTTTTCAGCACACTTCCCTCCCTCATTCCCTCACAGCCGCCATTTTCTCGGCGTTTTCTCTCTGGCACACCACCTTTTGGAAGGCTTTTAAAAGGCCCTCTGTTGTTAAAAAAACCAGTCATTGCTACAGGTATAGCTCTATACAAATTACCAACTTTTGTTATAAGCCTTCAAGGTAAAAGGTAAAGGTTCCCTTGTTCGAAAGCCAGTCGAGTCCGACTCTAGGGTTGCGGTGCTCATCTCCGTTTCAAAGCCGAAGAGCCAGCGCTGTCCGAAGACGTTTCTGTGGTCATGTGGCCGGCATGACTAAACACCAAGGCGCAAGGAAGCCTTCAAAGATCCCTTCAATTACATGGTGGGGGAAATGGTGGCTGAGAGCAGCTGACAGAATGGAAATGATGCTGGTGTGGGCAAACCAGGCCCATGCCATGGGAGGCCTTTGAGGGCAATGCCACCCCACAGATGAGCACCGCCTCCTCAGACAAAATATTTCAAAAAAATATTTTTAAAATGTAAGATGTGTATGCGGTTTCCATATTTACCCCAGGCACAGTCAGGGAACGGTCAGTCTAGTTTTCAGGGGTTTTCGGGACCCAAAAAATAAATAGGTTTTTAAACATGCAAATAAAGTGAACGAAAATTGCAAAAAATAAAAATGCAAAATGCAAAAGAGAGAGAGTGAGAGATCCCCTCCCCGTCTTACACAGAAAAGCAGCCCAACAGAAAAGTCTCTCCAATCAAAAGGACTAGAGGAGGTCTAGAAGTTGCAGCGGAGCCCGAACTGCTTCTTCTGCTGCTGCAAGAGGAGCAGCAGACCCAGCCAGGGTGCCCCCCCCAAAATTTCCCCATGCCCCACCAACTAAAAATTTCTGGCTATGCCCCTGGGGCTAACCCTTTGAAAATGCAAACCTTTCCATTCAGATGACATGATAATGCTCTCGGACCGCACTCTGTTTTAAAAGACTGGCACAGACCAATGTGGGAATGAGTATGATGGGAAAAGATGATTAGAGTTTGACGTCATGTGGATTGTCCCCCCCCCCCAAAAAAAGTGCTCAAGTTTGGAAGCTGAATCAGAATGGAACCTCTGAGTGGAAGCAGTCTAGGTGGCAGATTCCCACGGGAGCTGTGTGCGTCTGTATCTCTCAATGCAAGGATGACACGACTATCAGTCTTAACAAGTGATGTTCAGACCTACATCGGACCGGTCCTGATCTCTGTCAACCCCTTTAAACAGATGCCCTACTTCACTGACCGGGAAGTTGAACTATACCAAGGAGCGGTAAGGAAACTCTCGAAGGGAGGCGGAAGGAGTAGAAAGGAAGGCGCTGGCTGACAGGTCACTCTTTGTTGGGGTTGCTGCCTCTGGGATGGTGGATTCCTCGAGATTTTCGGAGAGGGACCTGGAGAAGGCGGAGTTTGGGGAGGGGAGGGACCAGTGTTCCCTCTAAGCTGAGTTAGTGTGAGGCAGCTCACAGTTTTTTAGCCTCCAGCTCACACATTTTTGTCTTCGCTCAGGAAGGGATGGCTCCAGAACAAACTATTTTATGCAGTAGCCAAATCGCTTGCTCGTAACTTTGATGCTTGTAGCTCACAAAGTAGGATTGTTGCTCACAAGACTCCACAGCTTAGAGGGATCATTGGGAGGGACCGCAGCAGGGTATAATCCCCATATATGGCCCCTTCCAGAGCAGCCATTTTCTCCAGGCGAACCCATCGCAGCCGTCTGGAGATCTCCTGTCCCCACCTGGGGGTTGAAGCAACCCGAGCTGCAGTGTTAGGAGAGTCAAGTAACGAATAAATATACACTGCAAGAAACGTTTGTACATTAACGTGTTCTGTTTATAACTATCATTCTGTAAAGTGCACAGTGTGCTATTATAACATCCTTGTCAGGTACGTATATTCAGTACATTCAGTTTAACAAAAACATTCAGTTCATTCAGTTTAACAACTGCCAGTCAATTTTGCATCAGTATTTTAAAAGTCAAGCCCCAACGGGAGTTTCCAGAATTACAAGCCCGCTTCTACTTGCACGAAGTCTTCCCAAAAGGGGGGGGGGGGAGCTTTCATTTATAGTTGTGTTGATGCTTATTGCCGGTCCTACAAAAGACACATTGTGCAGCTAAGATTCATGGACGGAGCGCTCCTGTCATTCTCAAGCCTGCACAATGTGTCTTTTGTAGGACCGGCAATAAGCATCAACACAACTTTTAAAATACTGATGCAAAATTGACTGGCAGTTGTTGAACTGAATGAACCGAATGTTATTGTTAAACTGAATGTACTGAATATATGTACCTGACAAGGATGTTATAATAGCACACTATGCACTTCATAAAAGTTGTTCTCCACCTGGAGAGCAACACACTCTCCCTCATCTGGGTTAAGGGACGGGGTTGCCAGCTCCGGGTTGGGGAACACCTGGAGATTCTGGGGGTGGAGCCTGAGGGCGGGGTTTGGGGAGGGGAGGGGCTTCAGCGGGACTTCAGTCCTCCCTCCAAAGTGGCCATTTTCTGCCCGTGAACTGATCTTTGTTGCATGGGAATAAAAAGCAAACGTTTTGAAAGGGGGAAATTGTTTTTAACAACAACTTTTAAAATACTGATGCAAAATTGACTGGCAGTTGTTGAACTGAATGAACCGAATGTTATTGTTAAACTGAATGTACTGAATATATGTACCTGACAAGGATGTTATAATAGCACACTATGCACTTCATAAAAGTTGTTCTCCACCTGGAGAGCAACACACTCTCCCTCATCTGGGTTAAGGGACGGGGTTGCCAGCTCCGGGTTGGGGAACACCTGGAGATTCTGGGGGTGGAGCCTGAGGGCGGGGTTTGGGGAGGGGAGGGGCTTCAGCGGGACTTCAGTCCTCCCTCCAAAGTGGCCATTTTCTGCCCGTGAACTGATCTTTGTTGCATGGGAATAAAAAGCAAACGTTTTGAAAGGGGGAAATTGTTTTTAACATAAAATATGTTTTTAACAAGGAATTCATGACAGGAAGCTGAACCTTGAAGAGCCGGGCCGGGGGCGGGGGGGGGGAGAAAGGAGAAGGCGTCTCTTCAAGGAAGAGGATTGATTCCCTCTTCGTGAGAGAGAATGGAGAAGAATCCTCTAATGTGGTTCCTGTTGCCTGTTGTTATTAAAATTTTAAAATGTTAAAAATTAGTTTTTTTAAAAAAACAACACCCTGCTGTGTCTTTAATAGGGGGGCCATTTTCCAGAACTTGATGTAACTGATGAGTCAGCAACATTCTGGATGCCTTTCTGTCCTGGGGAGGAGACAGAAACGTCCCCAGGAGAAGAGAGGCTTTTGTTTTGCAGGGGGTTCTTAGTCTGTCCTTGTAAAATCGTGGCGAATATCAAAGTAACAAAATGGGGTGGTGGACAATGTTCCCTCTAAGCCGCGTTAGTGTGAGCTAGCTCACAGTCTTTTAGCCTCTGGCTCACACATTTTTGTCTCAACTCAGGAGGGATGGCTCCAGAGCAAACTAATCGATGCAGCAGCCCAATCGCTCGCTCACAACTTCAATGCCAGTAGCTCACAAAGTAGAATTTTTGCTCACAAGACTCCACAGCTTAGAGGGAGCATTGGTGGTGGATACAGACCTTATATTACCCCAGCTCTCCTTTTTAAAAAATGCTGTCACGTTTCTGTCCCTCATGACTTGAAGATACGCTGGGAAGTCTGTAAATGATGCCTCTAAGGCCCGTTCTGCATCCAGTATTTGCTCTGCTGTTTTACCAAACCCACGTGGGAACAGAAATTCCCCTCCACATTGCATACCACTCTCTTTCCTTGATTGTCGGATTTTATGGTAGCCTCCGCACTGCGTGCCGGTTTCACTTCCTTTGATCTCTTGGTTTTATGGTACTGTCTGCATAGCTTTATGGCCGTTTATGGCCATTCGGGATGGGGGGGACTCTGCAGTCAGTACGGCGTTGGCCTGGGGTATCTGAATGTGGTTTTGAGCCACATCTTTTTCCGTTCCAGTGTGGATTTGGTAAAACAATGGAGCGAATGCTAGATGCAGAATGGGCCACAAACACACAAAGCCAAAGGAGTAAACAGCATGGGCTTGCCTCTGCCACAGCGCACAAAACTAGGAAGTATTCTGCAAAACCTCATAGAAGCATATAATATGTAAAAGGAGAGAGACGGTGGCCATTCAGGCTTTCTTAGCGAATCATTTCGAATTTTTCTTTCAGCCCTGATTGTTCGTCTCTGGTTATGTTCTAGGCTCAGTATGAAAACCCACCCCACATCTACGCGCTGACGGACAACATGTACCGCAACATGCTCATCGATGGGGAAAACCAGTGTGTCATTATCAGGTAAGTTTTTTTTCCCCACAAAAACTCGTTTATTGAAAATATTTTACAGCATGTTAACATTAACAAAAATTTAATAACATTAACAAGGTTCCAAACAGTGGCGTATAACATACAATTCAATGATGAACGACATTATGAATGAAAGTTAAAATAACAGCATAGAAGTAGTTTTTAACCATAAATCATTAACTGGTATTTAGCTTTAGAAATATGTTCCCAGTCAAAGTCATTATCAGGTAAGTGGAATCGTGAATGGCTGGGAGGATGGTGGATTAAGGGTGGCCTCTGATGCGCACTTCAGCAGCACTTTTATGAGGTGGTGGGTTTTCTCCTTCTTGGGAGGTTTTCAAGCAGAGGCTAAATAGCTGGCCATCTGACAGCAACTGTTTGTGTGAACTTAGGCAGATCATGAGAGGGAGGGCAGGAAGGGTTGCCTCTGTGCTTAGTTCTTGTGGCCCTTTCTTACAACCCCAGGGAAATCCTGATTGCCACTTTGGGGTCAGGAAGCAATTTTTCTTCAGGCCAGTTTGGCCAGGGATCCTGAAGGGTTGGTTTTTTTTTGTTTTTTGTCATCTTCTGGGCGTGGAACAGGGGGTCACTGGGGTGTGGGAGGAAAGTATTTGTGAATTTCCTGCATTGTACAGGGGGGTGGACTAGATGACCCTGGAGGTCCCTTCCAGCTCTGTGATTCTATATGATTCTATGAAACAGGGACCCTTGGGTATTTACAACTCCTGCCGCATCCCACAAGTACACATACGTACGTGGAGCTGCCTTATCCTCAGATAGACCGTTGGTCTATCCAGGTCAGTCCTATCTGCTCAGATTGGTAGAATTCTCCAAGTTCTCAGGTCATTCATAGAACCTATTCATCCATTTATTTCACAAAATTTATACCCCGCCTTTCTGCCCCCACAAGGCCCACTAATGTGGCTAATGATTTAAAACATGCACGATAAAATCCTACGATGTGATAGAAAAACATGCATGATAAAAACATATATGATAAATGCATAATAAAAGTCTACTACCCAATCCTTTTAACTGGAGGATGAGGAGGAGGAGGAGAAGAAGTAGAAGAAGAAGAGATTGGATTCATACCCCACCCTTCACTACCCAGAGGAGTCTCAGAGCGGCTTACAAACTCCTTTCCCTCACTCCTCCCCACAACAGACATCCTGTATTTGGGTCTCAGAGAGCTCTGACAGAAAAGGCTCTTTTTCAAGAACAGCTGTGCCAGAACTACGGCTTGCCCAAGGTCATCCAGCCAGGTGCAAGTGGAGGAGTGGGGAATCAAACCCGGTTCTCCCAGATTAGAGTCCGCGCACTTAACCACTACACCAAACTGGAGATGCCAGGGGTTGAACCCAAAACCACCTAAGGGCAAGCAGATGCTCTAGAGCTAAGCCGCAGCTCCCAGATTAGAGTCCACGCACTTAACCACTACACCAAACTGGAGATGCCAGGGGTTGAACCCAAAACCACCTAAGGGCAAGCAGATGCTCTAGAGCTAAGCCGCAGCTCCATCTCTCTCTATATTAATTTATGTGCATGGGTATGGACATAATCATGAGATTGCAAAATTCAGACTTAAACTGAAGAAAATTGGGAAAACCACGAGGCCATT